CCACACCGCAGTGGGAGCCCCCCACAGCTGCCACACTGTGTTGAAGGCCAGAGGCAATTCAGTGTTCAGATACGCAGGCTCTCCCCTGACGGTCTCTTCTCTCAATGGACCTTTTTTACTTTTTAAGAATTACTAATCAATGACCCCTCGAGGCTGAAGGACCAGTTGTGAGCAGAGAGCATGTTTCTGGTACCCACACTAGCTCTGACTCTGAGGTTTCCGAGTCCATCATGCGAGCTGCTAAATTGACTCCCTCCCTCCGAAGAGTCTTCCATCATGTCTGGATTATTTCCTGCTTTGTTACTTCGGGAGTTTTGAATTTCTTCGGTTTTGTTTTTACGAAGTAACCTAACATTTCCTACAACACTAAATAAAGTGGTACTCCTTTCAAAGACGTGCGTCTGTGGTGTCGTGCATGGTACCATAAGACTTTCTGCCTTCCCGGAAAACCTCTGTTGGTGCGGAAAGGGTGTTCTCATCCCGTGAGGGTCTCTCACCCAGCTCCCTGCAGCTGCCACCTTGCCTGGTGCCTGGGCCCATGGCCCTCTCCCCTGAAGAGGATGGAGCGTTGCTGACCTCTCCCTGTGACACCCTCACGTGGCCGGGGACCTGGGCCGCCTGTCCTGCGGTGGTTCTCGGAGCGGCCCCTTCTCGGCAGCGGGGGGCCTCTGGCTGCAGATACGGGCGGGGCCTCGATTTCCTTCCCGCTCCCTTTCTTCACCTTGTTCCCTCTGGGGGCACTTGGTGAATCTAGACTGGGCTCAGAGCTGCCCCTTCTGGGGAGCAGGTGCCTGGGTCAGCCAGCTCAGTTGACACATTTCTGAGCAGAGGGTATGGGGGCTGAGAGGACTCTCCTGGCTTCTCTCCCCAAGACCCCGAGCCTTCCCCAGGAGGTGGGAGACCTGCTGCCCGGCCGCCAGAGTTCACGTCCATACTTCGGGTGTCCCAAGTCTCCCGAGATGGGAGAGATGCCCTTTCTGTGTTGGTCAAAAGCTGCATTGCAGGTAGGCAGGCTGTGCTCGGCTGGGTGGGATGGGGAACTTCCTGGATGGATCCCTGGCAGGATATCACTGGGTGACTATGTGCCAAGGGACTTGAAACTGCTGTTCTCAAGACCACAGCCCTCCGGGGTTTCTGCTTTGTTGAAGTTAATTCATTTATTTCTCATACTAATGGGAAAGAGAGAGAAAGCCAGACATGCCCACCAGGTGATCCCATGACTCCTCAGCACCGCTCAGCCTTTGGGGCCTGGGTGTGCACAGGCCCAGCGAACTCGGGAGATCTCTGTCATAAACCTGAAACCTTCCCGTGTGGTCAACCTCCCAGGGTGCTGTGTTCTACTGCTACGCCAGCTCTGGCCCCTCCAGGCTCAATTTAAAACCAAACCTCTGGGGGCCGGCAGGTGGTGTGGTGGTTAAGGGTGCTGGGTCCCACGTGGCTGACTAAGGTTCAAGTCCCGGACCTGGCAGCTTGCTCTCTCTCTCTCTCTGTCTCTGGTCAAAATAGAAAAATAATGGTAAACAATTCTCTGGAAAGAGGGTCTCCCAGGAAGGGAAGTTTGTTTGTGCAGATAACCCCAGCTGCTCTCTCTGAGGTAAATTTCTCCTGCTTTTGGGGTTATGTGGTTCCTGCCCCTTGCCACCAAACCCAGCGCTTAGAGACTGGCCACTGGCTTTCAAACCCCGCCCAAGGAGGGGCACGCCCCTGTCTCTTTTATTTTTTTAATTTGCCAGAGAGCAAGTGCACTCACTGGGGAGAGAAAGACACCCAGGGGGCACGGCCACACTGCAGTCCCTTCTGCGTTTCTCCCAGGTCCAGGATTTCGGGCATGTGTGCACACGTGCCTGGCATGCTTCCCCAGCTGCTGGGTCTGGGACTCCACTGCAGGGTGGGCCCTGTGGGATCCAGCTGCCTCGCCCACCAGGTCCAGGCTGGTCTGACCCTCTCACTTCTTTTGAGTCCAACTTAGCCCAGCTACTCATAATGGACAACTTCGTAAAAACACCAAGGAAATAAAGGAAGTGGGGCCAGCCGGTGTCATGGTGGTTAGGCCAGCTGGGTCCCACGTGGTCGACCCGTGGGTCCATCCTGGAGTCTGTGGCTTGAAAGTTATGCCAGGTACATGTGTGTGCATGCCCGGAATCCTGAGAGGACAAATGAGAAGGGATCGTGTGGAGTGACCATCCCCCGGGGATGCTCTCTCACTTTTCCCTGTTTCTGGTGAGCATGCACTAGCTCTAGCGAGAAAGAAAAAGAAAGATTGTAGGATATAGGAATAGCGTAAAAAGAGAACTGTTGGGGCCAGCAGATGGCGAAATGGTTTCGTCGCTGGACTCCCACGTAGTTGACCAGTTTGAGTCCGAGACCTGGCGGCTTAAACCTCATGCCGGGCGCACACATGCGTGTGTGCCCAAGATCCTGAGAGGAGAATGGAGGAAAAGGGATTACAGCATGGCCATCCCCCTTGGGGGGTGATTTCTTGCTTTCTGTGTCTCCCTGGCAAGCACATGCACCCTACAGGAAAAATCCCTCTCTTCAAAAAAAAGGGGGGCTGGCAGGTGGCATTGTGATTGAAGTGTTAGACTCCCACATGACCGACTGCAGTTCAAGTCCTAGATCTGGCAGCTTGCTTTCTCCCTTTCCCTCTCTCTTTCTCGCTCTGCCCCTCTCTGGTCAAATTTAAAAATAAAGTTAAATAAAGTAAGTATTTTAATGGCTTAAAAACTGATTAACAACTCCAGAAAATCAAAATGATGGTATTTCCTGGCACATGAAAATGCCCTATAGCAAAAATGTCTCTTAAAACAAAACAAAACTTCCTTTTTTTTTTTTTTTTTTTGGCCATAGGGTAAGTGTGCTCACCTGAGAGACACAAACAGAGAGGGAAAGTGAGAAATCACCTCTCAGAGCTGGGCACACATGCACATACACCTGGCATGATTTTCAAGCTGCTTGGTCTGAGACCCAAACCACAGTTGACACTGCAGTAGTCCAGTGCCTTAACCACCACGCAATCTTAACCACCCAAAGTCTTTATTCTTTTTTTAAAAAAAATTACTCGTTTAATTTATTCATTATTATTTCAATTTGCTATAGGGCATGTGCACTCGCAGGAAAGAGTGAGAGAGAGAGGAAAAAAAGGAAGCTGCCAGGTCCAGGACTTGAACCATAGTCAGCCATGTGGGAGTTTAGCACCCTAGACCACCATGCCACCTGCTGGCCCCAAAATCTTTATTATTAATGAGTACAATTAGAATTTATTTTTAGAGAGTGAGATTTTTGCTCTAGGGAGCATGCACTGCAGAAGAGACAGAATGTAAGAAATCACCCTCCAGGGAGATGGTCACATCGCAGTCCTATCTCCTCCATTATCTTCTCGGGACTTGGGGTACACACATATACACATGTGTGCATGTGTGTCCAGCATGAATTTCCAGCTTCCAGGTCTGGGACTTGAACCTGGTCAGCTCTGTGGGAGTCTAGTGACATAACCATTACACTATCTTCTAGTCCCAAGGACGCTTAGAATTTTCTTCTTCTTGACATTTATATTCAAGTGTGATGTGCAACATACTTTAGTTTGTCCTGATAGAATAAAACACTGCGGCTAGGGAATTTATAAGGAACATAAAGTAATTTTCTCACGGCTCTGGTGACTGGGAAATCAAGCTTAAGATGTCAACAGGTTAGTTGCCTGGTGAGGACTGCTTTCTTCTTCCAAAATGGAGCCTCGAAGGTTGCATCCTCCCCTGGGAACAACACAAAAGGCAGAAGATAGAGGACAAAAGGGATGAATCTCCTTCTGTTAAGCCCTTTAACAACACATGAACCCACTTATGACGGTGGATTCATGACCTAAACACCTCCCGAAGGTCCTGTCTCCCAACACTGCTGCATTGGAGATTAAGTTTCTATCCAATAAATTTTGGGAGACACACGCAGACCATACCACAGCATTTATAATTTGAAATGTTAGTTTCTTTTTATTTTAATAAGCCAGAGGGTACATGTGCTTGCCAGAAAGAAACGGGGGAGGGAGGACAGTGAGAAAGCACCCTCCCCCCAGGGTGTGAGCACTCTGCAGTCCTCCTCCGGTTCTCCACCCTGTGTGATTTGGGGCATGTGTGCACATGGGCACAGTATACTTCCAAGCTGCTGGGACTGGGACTCAACCCATAGTTAAGGGATTCAGCTCCTTAACCAAATGACCGGCTCCTGTGTGGTCGATTTCTGTAATAGTATCACTAGAGGCAACATTTTACCCACGCTCCTTTGATCTATACTATACAAGCTAGGAATCTTGGGAGCCAGAACCTTAAGAACATCTCAAGTTTTTAAAAAAAACACTGGAGTCTGATGCTTTAGATAAAGGACTGATAACCAGAATACACAAGGAACTCAAACTGCTTACTCGAAAAGAAAAAAAAAAATCAACCCATTAAAAGATGGGAAAATGAGCTGAACAACTCTCTAAGGAAGGCATATGAACAGCCAAAAAGCATATGAAAAAATGGTCAATATCCCTCATCATAAGGGAGATGCAGGTCAAAATCATGAGATACCAACTAACCCCAGTCAGAATGGCAAAGATTAAAAAAAAAATGATAAGTGCTGGTGGGACAGTGGTGAAAGGGGACTCTTCTACACTGTTGATAGAATTGTAAATTGGGGGAGCCAGCAGTTAGCGTAATGGCTGTGTCGCTGGGCTCCCACGTAGTTGACCGCGGTTCGTGTCCCGGACCCGGTGGCTTAAAACTCACGCCAGAAGCATGTGCATGCGTGCTCAAGATCCCGAGAGGAGAATGGAGGAGAAGGGATTGCGGTGTGACCATCCCCCCTGGGGGGTGATTTCTCGCTTTCTGTCTCTATGTCTCTCTCTGTCTGTCTGGCGAGCACACGCACCCTATAGCGAAAATCTCTCCAAAAAAAAAAAGAATTGTAAATTGGTCCAGGCACTGTGGAGAACAATATGGAGGTTCCTCAAAGATCTACAAACAGAACTATATGATTCAGCAATTCTACTCCTGGGTGACTATTCAAAGGGCAGGAGAATGCTCAGTCGGAAAAGTGCTTGCACATCTGTTTATTGCAGTATAATTCACAATTGCTAAGATATGGAACCAACTCAAATGTCCATGAACAGATGAATGAATTGAAAAAGTGAGGCACATATACTCTGTGGAATAGTACTCAGCCATAAAATCCAAAACTCTGGCATTTGATAGAAAGCAAATAAATATGAAAGATTTACTGTTTAGTGAAGGAAGCCAGGTTACGAAAGAGAGACATTGTATGTCTCTGCTTCATATATACCGACTGTCCGCACAGTGGCAGAGATGGAAAGAGTAGAGGCTATATGCACAGAGAATGGTTATGGATGCTGGAGACTGTGAGAGGAGGGTGGGAGAAGGGGGAGTGTGAGGAAAGGAATTAAGAAGGAAAATAGAGGCAAGACATTTAAAAGATACAGAAATGGATGATTATCAGTTGATGATAACATTTCTCCTCAATTGGACTGGTGTCAAGTGTATTCATGTTGGAAAAATTCACTTTACAAGCTAACTAATGTATAGTGATTGAATGTTTAAAATAAAATGAAAGTGAAAACAAAACAAAACAAAACAAAAACAAGCAAACAAAAAATCTGAATCTGTTCCATCCTCCAGTTTGCCAAAACCCTCCTTGCCTGATCTTAAGGCATTTGAGTTTGCAATCTGGGGTTTTGATTCAGCTCCCTCATTTTACAGTTGAAAAAAACAGATGGCAAAACGAGGAAGCAACTTGCCAGGGAAGCAGCTCTGGAAGGTAGGTCACAATTCCCTGTCTCACTGCCCTCCCTTTCAGAGAGATACTTTCTTCTGTGGCCAAAATCAACATTTATTACCAAAGAGATAGGTTGGATCTGTGATTCCCCTATCGGTTATAAAAAGGGGTGGGGGCTGATCAGCGATGGTATCAGTTCCTCGCCTGCCACATGTGTCCATGCCGGATAAGAGCTCACATAAGTCCACACCCCGCGGGGCCCACCTCAACCACAATAACCGCAACGGCGGAGAGCGCGGGGAAGCCGCTCAGGCCAGGAACCTCGTCTCCTGGCTCTCGTTTCCACACGAGTCCGCAGAGGAAGAGACCGGAAGCGGCGCACGGCGCATGGGAGGGTTCACCAATCCCGCCGTCGCTCTGGCCGGAAGAGGAAGGTGCCGTTCTTAGAAGCGTCCCCGGCCAGTTCCGGCTGCCGCACGGGTGCCGTTACGGACTGCGGCGTGGGTGTCGGGAGACCCGGCTGCTCGGGGCTGCGTGCACGATGCCTGGCGGCGGCCGCTGCCCCGACTGCGGCTCCACCGAGCTCGTGGAGGACTCGCACTATTCGCAGAGCCAGCTGGTGTGCTCCGACTGCGGCTGCGTGGTCACCGAGGGCGTCCTCACCACCACCTTCAGCGACGAGGGCAATCTCCGAGGTACCGGTGCTGGCCTTCCCGGCCTCGGGACAGGCTGGGGGGGCGGGGGGG